CCTACTCATAGATACGTGTTTGACAGATCTTTAGTATCACCTACTCAAGATGAATCCAAACACTTCATTGGTACAACTGGCACGAAGAAAAGGGTTGCTTACCTATAAATATAGGTTGCTTACCTGTAACCGCAGTTTCCCGAGTGGTCATCTGTGAATTCGCACATATGGCAGAAACTACCATATGTGCGTATTCACATATGGTAGTTTCTGCCATATGTGCATATTCACAGTTGACCACGATGGGAAACCATGTTTCTTCGAGTAATCATCTGTGATATTCGCACATATGGTATTTCCTGTGCCTGTGCAGTCAGTTCAGAATCTTCTAAAATTCTAGGATACATTTCAGATGAAGCCTTGCCCACAGTCCCCATGGAGAAATATAGCCAGAGGGAGGGGCTACAGCCTCAGTTCCTCCGCTGCGTGACAGCAACAAGAGAAACCGAGGCACGACTAGATAGAGGGGACGATGGGCAGGAATGTGCAAATTTCACAGATGACCACACAAAGAAACACGGTTAAGCAACCCTTTCTTCTTCTTCGCGGTCTCTGTGAAATTGCACATATGGTAGACTAGCAAGTTACTAACCATGGTTGGTGGGAGTCATGCCACCGAAGAGAGGAGGACTGCTGTGCCAAAGGCCGCATATTTCCTGGAGAGATGTAAAGGGTAACCAAGGTAAGTTGACTAGAGCTGGGGGCTATCTAGCAGAGGTCATCTAAGGGTACACCCCTCAGGAAAGCTCATGAGGCAACCACAGCCCTTGTGGAGTGGCTTTTGATCTGTGGAGGTAAGTCACGACATGCTAGCTGGTAGGTTAAGCGGATGGTGGACACAATCTATGACGACAGTCACTGGGGAGACACTGCAAAGCCACTGGCATCCTTCCGATATTTGAGGAAGAGTCTGGGAGACTTTCTGATTCATCGGCCAGTGGAAGAGGATGGGCTGGATCAGCCACTGAAGGTATGGAGGTCTGGTTCAACTGCATCGCTTAATTCAGGGCAGTTGGTGGTGGTGGTTGGTCCTGATGGTGGCCATTGTCACCAAGATAAGAACAGCAATGCCACCCATCTCTATACTCATAGATGTAATAATGATCTTAGAGTCCCTCTCTCTGTAGTAAGAGGAGGAGCAATGGTGGTAACCTCCATCCCGACACAGCGGCAGGGACTAGTGATAGTATGAAAAGCCACAGCAGGGGCTACATAACCGAGAGGTCCACGAGCGGGTATTAGGTGAGTGGCCCCTCGATCCCAATTAGTATGAGTACTGCGACTGGTAGGATTGCCGCAAGGTAGAGCGCTTGCGCGAACTGGGCCTGTGTCCCTCACCTGGGTGGGGAAACTCAGGCCTTAGTCCAGAGGGAGGCACAGGAGCCAAGGAAGGGTTAGTGACACAGATTTCACCTCCAGCCAGATGCTCCAGTATGGGGATTGGTGGAGTAGCAGGTAAACATTCTCCAGCCAATGATGGTGGCTGGGAAGTCATTGGTGCGGCCTGCTCAAGAGAGAGTGCGTCCTCAAGCGGTGTTAGGGATGTTGGGAGAGAAGGCTCCTACATCACTGGAGTTACCATATCAGCCGTGGGGGTTGTGTTGAGGGAACGCTGGGTTTCCTGCCCTTCTGTTTCTCCTGCTGCTTGCCCCACTCCAGCCCTTTACCAGATGGAGCAAGCTGGGAAGTTTTGGTCCATTTAGCCTTGGGTGGCTTGGAGGGAGCCAGCTGGCCGTGAGGAGACAGGCTCCTGGCCAAAGGTAAGAGGGTTTCCTGGACAATGCCATTAGTAGCAAGGGCAAAGAGCTCTATTGCCAATTTCTTGGGGTGGTCGGGAGGAAGGAGGGCTTGCTCATAAATAAGAGTTTTAAGCTAGGACTCACAATTTTTGCAAGCTTGGGAGTAAAAGAAAGGCATATGTTGCAGTATTGCACTGTGTGGCACTCTTCCGGACAGAGCAGGCACATAGCATGCCCATCTGTGTCAGGCAGCTTCCTCCTGCAGGCTCAACACTTTTTGAAAAAGGTTGTTGAGGACATAATAGCCTGATAAAAAAGCAATGTCAAAAAACAATCCAGGTAAAAGCCAAAAAAGTAGTCAGAGAAAACAGTCAAGGTAAAAAAAAAAGGCAAATGAAAGAATATTGTAGTTTAAAGGAGCAAGAGATTCCTAGCTATTGAAAAATTAGCAAACCAAAGGAACTGAGGCTGTAGCCCCTCCCACTGGCTGTATACCTCAATGTGGAGTGTGGGCGAGGCTTCCGCAAAAATGTATCCTAGGACTTCGAGAAGATTCCGAACATACTGCGCAGGAGCAGGAAATACCGTATGTGCAATTTCACAGAGGCCACAAAGAAGAATCAGTTCACCACATCACTATTTTAAACCAGGACATCTACCAACCTGTCATATTTAACTATCTAATTTAAAAAGGAGGAAGGGTCAAGAAAAAAAGCGTAAGAAACGTGGCAATACCTTCAAGACAAACTGGTTGAGGTTAAAAACAACCTTGAATTTTTAGTTTCACATGAGCTCTCACAGATATAAATCCACTTCTTCAGATGCAGTACAGAGTGCTAATACATGTTCAGGTAGAAAACATACTTACACAGTTGAGGCAGTGGGATAAGACGTAACAGCTTCCAGAAAGATGCAGCTTATTACCCTTGGCCTAAATTTCTAAAATGTTGCCTAATATGATACAAGGGTTTTTTTTTTAAAGATCTTTACGGGAATCAGTTAGTGCTGATGTGTGAAAGAAGTAAATCTGCTTACCAAAAGTCAGTTTTGTGGGTGCTACAGGATTCCTTTGCACACCGATATTCCAGACTAACACAGCTTAACACAATCATTGGTTGATATGAATGTCAATCTGTATCATAGTCAATATCTGATTCTTGTTGAGTTCCCAAATTTTCAATGTATGGTAACTCTATCTACAAGTCACTCTATCCTCAACAGCCCTACTCAGATCTTGCAAATTCAGGACTATGGTTTTCTTGATTGAGTCTATCCAATTTTAATGCAGTCTTCCTCTTTTCCCTATTGCTTTACACTTTCTGAAGTATTACTATGTTTTCTAGTGAACCATGTCTTCTCATATGTCCAAAGTACAACAATCTCAGTTTAGTCACCTTGGTTTCTAGGGAGAGTTGAAATCTGATTTGCTCTAGGACCCCATCATTTGTCCTTTTGGCAACTCAGGGTATCTGAAGAATTCTCTTTCAGCACCAATTTCAAAAGAATTGATGCTCTTCCTATCTGTCTTCTTCATTGTTTGACTTTCAAAACCATATACAGAAACTAGAAATACAATGCCACGGAAAATCCTGACTTTGTTATTCAAAGATACATCTTTACACTTGAGTATTTTGTCTAGTTGTTTCATAGTTGCACTTCCAAATCTTGATTAAAGATTGCCCAGTGTGAAAATCGTCATTCCACCCACTCAAGCTGCTCATCCCTAATCTAGAGTTTAGTGTGAAAATGGATGATCCTGGGAAGTTGGGGTTTCTGAACATCATAACTTTCTCAGTTTTATTTACTGGTGGCAGAATGTACATTACAAAACAATGTTAATACAATATACCTACTAAATCAAGTAAAAAGCAACCAGAAAAATACTTGTTACAAAAAATTACATTAAAATGTAGGAAATAATGATTAAAAATAAAGACAAAATTCAAAAGTTGTGATATAATAATGCATCATTACAAACTTTAAAAAAGCCTTTGGGAGTTATCAATACTGATGGTGGTGATTCCTCCTGCTTCCCAACCCCACTCCAAGGCTTTTCTGTGATGTATGCTGATGAGAGTGAGTCTTCCTACTCTCCAACCAAAGCCTAAGGCTATTGTGTGAATAGAAGATATTTCAAAGTGCAGATATGGAATCTATGGATATTGAGGGGGCAGTCTTATTATACACAGTACAAAATGCACAAATTCCCTGTTACAACGGCTACACTGCCTGCCAGTCTCTTTCTAGGCAAAATTTAAAGTGCTGGTTATGACCATAAGGTCCAGGCTATTTGGCAAATTGTATCTCCCGGTACAAAACCAGGCCATTAGATCCTCAAGAGAGGCCCTTCTCTTGGTTCCACCACGATCTTATGCACAGTTGGTAGGAACACGAGAGAGGGCCTTCTCAGTGGCTGCCCCTTGACTCTGGAACTCCCTGCCTAGGGAAAGCTGCTGTCCTGTCTATGTAATTATTATTACTACTACTACTACTACTACTACTACTACTACTTCTTTGTATTCTGCCCTGTCTCCGCAAGGGGGCTCAAGGTGGACTCCAGCATACACAAACACAAAGGCAAAATTCAATACCTAGAAACAATGTGTTAGGTTTTAATTCACACATTGTTAAGGGTTTTTTATTAGTAGCTTTGTGTCTCCTTTGGCAGAGAAAAAGCTGAGTACAAATACTTCTACTGCTAGCAATTATTTTCATACAGTAGTCTCGCTTATCTGACCTTCTCTTATCTGACATTCTGTTTTATCCAGCACTCTTATCTGACAACTCCCTTTTCCTCCAGCATTTCCCCTTCAATTAAAGGAGTGATCCCCAACTCTCTCTCCATTCCCACTAAGTGAAAAAGGCAAGACAAGGAAGAGGAGGAAAGTGGGAAAAGAGGCAGGACCAGAAGTGTTCACTCTCCTTTATGATTTCCATGCTCCCCTTCTGCATCCGGGCACTTCCTGCTGGGCCACTCTAGCCCCGAGGCGTTCCCTTGTCTTAACCCCATGAGTCCCTCTTTGTAGTATTCTAGGGGTCTAGTGCCACATCAGACAGGTAACAGTAGGAGACTCTGTATTATATGACATTTCTGTTTATCCAACATTCTGCTGGCCCATTTGTGTCGGATAAGCGAGACTCTACTGTAATACAAAACCTAGAATCTAAAATAAAATCCAGGAAAAAAATTAAGAAGTATAAACCTCAACTAAATTTAAAAAGCTATGTAGCTGGAAAATTAACATTAAAAAGTTAACCTACCTTATAGTCCCCACAAATCAAGCCAGCTCAGTTCCATGCCAGGAATGCCAATAACTGTAAAAGAAAAAGAAATCATATAAATTCTAGTATTTAGTCTGCCTGAATAAAATGGTTTAATCTGCCACCTGAAGGACAGAAGAGAGGGGGCCATTCCGGCTTCCTGAATCAAGGGGCAGCCAACGAGAAGGTCCTCTCTCTCGTTCCCATCAATTGAGCTTGAAATGGAGGTGGGACCGAGAGAAGGGCTTCTCCTGAAGATCTTAGGGCCCGGGTAGTTCATCCAAGGGGATGCGTTCAGCCAAATAATCTGGACCTGAACCATATACTAAATATATTAAACAAAGACAGTCATGGTTTGTCCGCAAAAAATAATCACATTTGGGGGCTTTCTATGATCTGATGAAGCTAGAAAGTAATCTAAAATGCATTTTGGGAGAAGGGAGAATCATACAAAGAATAAGCCTCAGCACTGATTCTCAAAATCATACCAATAGAAACAATGGACCCATTAACTCTTTAAATGCTCATTGCCCCTATACATGAAATCAGATAAGGATACTGATGCCTACTTCTCTCTATCTGAGGAAGCAGATTAAATAAACAAAGTTACACTAGTAGAAGATAGAATAACCTTTCTTCCAAATTACCTTTATGATATAGCATGCCAATTTGTAAAAAACTGTAAAATGCATAAAACCATACTAAATTAGTCCCAGCTAATAATGAAGCAACAGTTATATGATGCAAAATTTTGAAATCAGTACATACTTTCCATGTGTCTATAGATTAATGAACTTTCAGACAACCACTTTGAACACAATGCCCATCTTAGTACTTTGAAGAAGCACAAAAATGTACCGCAATGATTTCTTCCTATTCAACCCTTAAGCACACATATGAATTAGCAGTGATTAGAATCTGCCCCGTGCATATCAGAAATATTAAAACTTGAAAACCATTCCATCTGACAAAGATGCCCTAAACGATCTGACAGTGCAGTATGTTTACTACCACAACACAAAATAAACCCTGAACAATAGTATATCCAACATAGTACAATCCCCATATCCATGGGGAATATGTTCTAGGCCTTGGTGTGACTACATGAACTATAGATAACAGTAAACCCTGTATTTCATACTCAGAGCCAAAAATACCCTTCCTACATTGTCCCAGAGAAAGCAGAACAACAAAGGGAAGACTCACAAGTTGGGGAGCAGTCTGGTCCCCTCAAGCATTAAGGCCAGCTGGAGGGCAAAGAGCTACACAACAAATGCCCAGGGCTCCAATGCCATGACTGCCCCCAGCACCCAGGGCCCTTTCTCCAGACTGCTGCTGTCCATAGAGTCAACACAGCCAAGTTAAGGGCAGCAGGAGACCAAGCTGCTAGGCGTGACTCTCTCAGCTGAGAGACAAGCCTTCATCCCTTTACTCTGCCATGCAAGGTGCTCTCTAGGTCCCTCGGTGATATTATACAGTATGCTTCAGGCCCAAGTACAGTCAAAATACAGTTTTTTCTATTATCCATTATCCTAGAAATGCTACTCCAGATCATGAAAATGCTGGCAAAATCTGCCTAGAGAAGTACAGTGGAACCCTCGACTTGAAAGTGTTCCAACATAAAAAGTGTTTTGAGTTAAGAGCTATTGCTCGACCCAGTTTCACTTTGACATATGAGCAGCATTTTTAGTTAAGCGCTAGTGCCAGAGTACAGGATTTTAGGGCTTCAAGGGAGCAGCCTCCATGTCCCATGCTCTTGTCCACTTTGGGAGGTTGCTGTTTGCTTTGCTCTTGTCCGCTTTGAGGAACTCTGGGTTAGTTGATTTTGTGTGGTTTTTATTCCTTCATGGAAAGAGGGAGAGAAAGCAAGAGAGGCGGGAGGCTAGAGTGAAGAATATTATGCTTCTGTCTCCTCACTCTGTGCTTCCTTGCCACAACTTCGTGCTTCTACCGTTTTAAAGTTGATCTTTCTTTTTTATTGTTCCATGTGAATGTGAATTTATACATTGTTATTTAGAAAGTACATCTTATTTTAAAACATGTAACAAAAAATTGGGGACATTTCGGGGGGCTAGAACAAATTAATAGATAAGAGCGATTTGAGTTAACTGAACAAATTATACTCTTGACTCAAGGTACCGCTTGATGTATTGAGGTATCTTACTGATCCCCCACTTTTGCTACAAAAGCATGATATATTAAAAAAAATTCTCAAAAACTCAAGCAAAATTATTTCACCAACATAAAATTTATATTTATTTGAATTCACAGTTTACAACACAGAATATAACTGTGAGAACAGGGGCTCCAAAAGGAATTAATGTTGGTTTAGCTCTGTCATCATGTGTGCTTTCTACTAGTCATTACCTAAAACCAATAGTAGAAAGGGGATGGGCACTGTATGCGTGCACACTCTTGTGTGATTATTTTGATATTAATTTCAGTATTAGGTGGACATCTTCTTATATATCAAGGCTTTACAATCTCACTTCTTTTAATTCTGCCAAAAGCTGAATTCGGTTCTTTTAAACTACTTTAATTTTTATCTTTTGCTTTTGTAATTTTTATTTTGCAAGATACTTCAGAGAAGCATATATATCCAAACACATAAAAAGATGAGCAATCCACATGCAAATCTGTTACTAATGCTCTTAACGTGATTGCAGTTATAATCTACATTAGTCAAGAAAAAGATTTACTTTTGGTGCTACTTTGCTGACGTCAGGAATGGGCTGCCAACTAGAAGCAGATGTAAAAGAGTGTGGCTTGGATAGAGCCTAAGCACCATGATTTCTCAAGGACAGACATGCTTCTTTCTATAAACCATAAACCAAAAGAATTCATATACATAAGTACAAACATACATTAAAAATACCAAGGAGTCTAAATCAAAATTACACAACCTTCTCAGAAGAACTACATAAAGACCTGGCTAAAATACAACTCTGGAATTGTATGCAGTCAAATTCATAGGAAGTAACTTGCACTTTCCCTTGGTGTTAGTGTGTTAATCTACTGCAAATCCTCCAGAAATCTCTCAATGTATTTCAACCTATTTTCTGCCATCCCCATGCTACTCTTTTCCTAAATATATATGATGATGTAGGAATTTTTTTTTCTAATTTGGGCACTATTATGAAAAGGAACTTTGGCTATCTACAGTTTTTAATGTATAACTTACACATCTGGTAGTGAGCTATAAAGATGGTTTCTCCACCTCTCCTCCCACCCTTCCCCAACAGCTATAGGGTATGATTGTACTGCAAGTTTCACAACGTTTTTCCCCTTGAGAACATAACGTCAGCACTAAGAGATGTAGAAGAGTTGTCTTGCTAATAAACTTCTCAATTCAGTGGAAATGTTTATACATCATTGTTTACACGTCCAAGCCAAACTGTTGTTATTCCAACAATTACAATGGGTTATCTGCCTTCACTAGTGGTGACTCAGACCTTAAGAGTAGTTAAGCAATATGGAAATTCTCCAACTGACATTAAATCTCTGGTGTGACCACAACTACTGAGATTTCAGCCACACATACACTTTAATAAAGATATGTCTTAAAAGCTCAAGGAAACCTTGACAGAACCAGTCAACGGTCTGGGGACTTTAATGTTCTTGAAAGATGAAATATACATGCTTAATTATTTTTATTGGAGATTGGATTGACCTGTTATGAAAACCAAGCAACAAATATTAAGGAACAAGTTTTATACAGGGGGAAATAACTCCCTAGGCACACAGATCTACAGTATTTTCAAAAAACTACCTTTCTTTTCACATTGCTATGAAAGCACTTTGAAGTGAATGCTGCTTATTTCCATGTTCAAAATTTCAACTAAGTCCTCTGCATACTCTGAACTGATGATGCTCTTTTAAAATTGTTCAATACTGGATGCGATCAAAGAAAATGAGGACTTCTCTCAAACCTGCCCCCTCACACACACAGAGAGACACAAAATAAAGGAACTATATACTATATGTAGGGAAAGCAGAATTAGCTAGACTAAAGTATGTTCTTATTTCTGTTCCTGATCAGAACATTAAAAAAATTAAAATGCACCTTTAAATGCCATTATCATTTCTCACATGAAGACAAGGCAAATTCCACTAAGAAGGCAATGCTGAGGGGCACATTTTAAATCTTTACTATCCAAGATAATCCAACTTTGAACAGCTTTCAACCTCAGAAAACTTTTACTTACTTTTTGACAACAGAAAACGGCAAAGTTTGCTACACAGAAAAAGTAACAAAGATCTAAAGCAAAGTTAAAACGTCTACCCCAAGTCAATTTCTCTTACTTTCTAAAGAGGAAATCCAGTCAGGAACAAGTTAAAATTCACATTTCCTCTAATAGAAGGGAGAAAACGAAAAGTCCTTATTCCAAACAAAGGAAACCATAAAACTACACAAAGTTCCAAATTTGTTGGTTCCAAGTAGAATAGACCCACTAAATCAACAAAAACTTGGTTTTTGGAACCTTATTTAGGTTCCGCTGATTCTAAGAGACTGCTGTAATACAGACTAACACTTAAATTCATCAGAGTAAATTTAGAGTTTAAAAATTATTTCATAAAGATGAATGACAAACTATAAAGACTTTCATAAACTACATATACGAGAGAGCAAAAAGTGATTTCCTCTCTTCAAGAGCTGTCAGCATTCAGTTCAATTACTGTAAACCAGGTCAGCACAACTTTTATTTTTAAATATTTTTTGGAAAGGTGGTATACAGAATGTAAAAGAAAAAAAATTCAAATACACATAATACATCTGTCCACCAAACCGACCCCTCCCCCCATCATGAACCACTAACAGGTGTGCACAACTCATCAGTAGTAAGGGCCAAAATTAAAATAGCCTACACTTCTTCAGGCTACAGACAACTTTCCAAGTAAAGATATAATTAATGATTAAACTATTTTGCATAAAAGCTGTATTATTATAAAGGAAATTTTCAATTAATATTAATTTATTACACTTATAGAGCCTGGATGGCGATCTGTCAGAAGAGCTTTAACTGTGCATTACTGCTTGATGGGGGGTTGGACTG